CCAACCTTAATGATTCTGTGATTCTGTGTCTTTTCCAACCTGTATGATTATATGATTGTCTTAATAAAATATTTCCTGCTTAACTTGTCAGCCTTTGAGCTACCCTCAGACTCCACAATCAGCCAGCATCTCCTGGGCGGACTTCTCTGCCGAACGCGCGGGGGCTGCTGCCTTCATGTGTCACCTTTCCTGCTCGCTGCTTGCACACAGTCATGCCTCGTGCTCTGCGCAGAGGAAGCAGAGCTGGCCGTAAAGCTTGGCCTGGGAAGCTTCTGTTGAAGTCAACCATGTCAAATGCAGTCATTTAGCAGAATAATAGCTAAAAGCCACTGGCAGAAAAGCAGCATCCGCTTGCCAAATGAGCACTGCTGTAGGATGCTTGTAGCATCTGCAGGGTTGTAGCACGAGAGGTAGGCATAACTCTGCTGATGGTCAGGAATTGAACTTATTCCAAAGCAGTTCTTCAGCGCTTTCTCTAGGTGGTGTTTCCACAGAAGCAAAGTAGTAGAAGATCTTGTGTTTACTGGGATTATACTTGGAATTCCCATTCACTGCCTCTCGCAGTGCGTATAAGGGTAAAAAATAAATGCATTTTATTTCTAATTAGATCAGAATCTGGATGGGAACTCTTCTACAATCGTCAACTTTTGTTAGAGCATAATACAGCTTCTTGTAGTTAGTGCCCACCTTGTTGTGGTGTGTTGGTATGCAACCATCATATGCTCTGACCTCGCAAAGTTTTAGACCCCAGGGACGCTGTATGGCAGTGAGCTCCAGAGTTTCATTGTGAGGAGTAGTATTTATGTACTACTCTGAGATTTTGACAGGCTTTGAACTTCATGTTCTTTGAAAAACAAAATCTCATCAAATTGCTGTAACCACTGATTGATTTGTAGTATTATTTCATCATTTTGTGATGTAAAGCAAGCAAAAAACCCCACAAAAGCCCTCTTTCATCTTACTCTTTCTCGGTCACTTTTTTGTTAGAATTATTACAACCTCTCTATGAATCTTTGTTCCACCTTGCTACGAATTCTCTGTTTGTGACTGGCTGGTACCTCAGCCTCCTAGAAGAGGCAACGGCTGTTTCTTTTATATACCAGCGTTGTGTCTTTAGTTATGTCCGTTCTGTTCCTTCTGTGTGTTAACATTGGGTTTGCCTTCATGAACTGCAGTTTTGCACTGAATTAAGGGTTGTCTTCAGGGATATCTTTTGAGGCACACCATCAGCTTCCTTTCCTGAACCCCACTTTTGCAGGTAGTGTCGTTAGCCTAAGTGAAGGTAAAAATATCAAAAGCATAAAGAAATGTATTGGCAAGAGAATGTGGCATATGGCATTAGGGGATGAGAGAAGGAGTTTGCCTAAATTTTTTTGTTTTCTTTCCAGAAGAAACTGGAAATCAGTTTGAAAGTCTAATGTTGTTGGTAGAAGACAAATTCAGGTCTCCTTACAATGAAAATTAATTTGTAAGGTCATGGGTCTGGGTATTCATTTTGAGCCTTTCCACTGCGTTTGTCGTATTTGAAAACTTTAGGTCGCAGGATCTGGAAATGTCTTTGAAAGCTGAAGCGACCGGGCTTTTTACAGTAACAGCTGAGACTGAGGGAGCTACGGGAGGAGAGCCAGCATTGACAGAGAGGAAGTTCGGCATTTTGTTGTGTGTTCATTTTAAGCGTAAATCCAACCTCGCGGGCGTTAGCTCATTTAGAGCTAACTTTCCAACGCCGTACGCAGTCACACGTCTCTTATCGCCATGAGAACTTAATGCCTTGGTGCTTTTCCCCGTCCTGGCCGTTACCACTAGCTGCTGCTTTTGTTCCTCTGTTGAAGGGATTTAAAGTTCGAGTGTTAAAAAATAGCGGTCGGTGGAGATGCGTGTGCCGTCCCCTCTTCCCCGAAGCTTCGGCTCAGCACGCAGGGTGGGCCGCGCTCCCCAGGGGCCCTGCGCCGCCGGGGCCCGTAGGCCCCGGCCTCCCAGGACAGAGGCGCAACCTCTTGTTCGTGGAGCTGCCGGGGCGGCTGGGGGCGGTTGTACGCGTTCTCAAGCCCTG